CCTAGCTTAAATACTATGATGTAAAATGAATAACAAATACTGTAAGGCCAATACATTTTATGTTACATGAGGAGGGAATAAGAGAGGGAAGGAAACAGATATTTCCCCGACACTCACATTCACACACACACACAAACGTATTCATAACAAAATAAGGGAATACTCATGACCGTTACAATCCTCTTTCTATAACTGGTCATATGGTTGTAGCTGGTATTAATAACTACCTTCTTCCACTACCTAATCTGTATTCCCCTGCCTTCAGCAAGCACCTCAGCTGGTTGTGGTTCTTTAACTGGTGGAGTGACCCAAACCTTCATTCTTGAAGGATCTGAGCTATTAGTAGTCCTTCCTGGATTGGGTTGTAGTTTTCCATTGACCTTAATCACATGGTAGGGCATGGTAGTACTGTGAGACGTCCTAAGGGATCTCCTATATTCCAGAAATACTCTTTCTTACCTCCACTGTGGAGTACCAGTCTATTTTCCACTGGGTAGTCAGTATCACTCACCCCAGCCAACACAGTAACTCCTTCTTTGCTTGTTGATTCAGAAGCATGTGGAATCCACAGTGACTCAGCTGCAGTCTTAAGTTGCATTTCAATGGAATAATTGTGTCAGTGGCATAAATGTGAAAGCATTCCTCCCTCTGGAATTAAGACCTCTAGGCCAGTAAATCGTAAGGCCATGGGAACGGAAAGCAACAATTTTGCTAGTGGGTCTCTAGGAGTAATAATGAGTGGTGCCTCTCCCATTCTATCCTTTGATTCCTAGACCTGTGAATTCTATGTGTGGGAGAAGCAGCACCATATTAGATGCTGGTTCTAGACTGTATAGTCTTCTGGAAAACCTTGCTCCAGATCTACAAGGTATTACCAACTTGCTGGCACTGTATCTCAGTCTTCAAAAGGCCATTTCATCATTCCGTCAAACCAGCTGCTTCATGATGGTGGGGAACATGTAAGAATAGTGAATTCCATAAGTGTGGGCCCAGTGTAGCCCTTCTCTTGCTGTTAAGTGAGTTTCTTGATCAGAATCAATGCTGTATAGAATATTATGACAGTGGATAGGCATTCTCTAAGTCCACAGATGGTAATTTTTGCAGAAGCATTGCATGCAGGGATGCCAGTTCCATATCCAGAGTGTCTATTCCAGTAGGAATAATACACTTCCACTGCCATGATGGAAGTGGTCTAATGGCATCAACCTGTTACCAGGTAGCTGACTGATCACCCTGGGGAATGATACCATATAGGGAACTCAGTGTTGATCTCTGCTGCTGACAGATGGACACTCAGCAGTGGCCTTGGTGAGTGGAAGTCCATCCTTCCCACCACAGCCACCTTGTTCATAGCCCATTGGGCAATGATGGGGCGATTCGGGAAAAGCTGATGGTATCCACTTGATTGTTAAAGTCTTCCTTTGCTGAGGTCACCTATGAGCATTCACACAAGACACAGATATCTTCACTTTTTTCTTAGTTTTTTTAAATTGAAATATAGTTGACGTCTTCACGTTGTTGTTGTTTTGCCTATTTAGAGACATCTGTCTACCTCTTCCCCAAACTTCCCAACTTCCCAAACATACTCCTTCCATGTCCCTTACATTAGCCACTCATTGGTCATAGCCCATGAATCAGTATAAAATTACACATCTAACTACTTCTTCTTTCAAGTAAACAACTAAGTGCACTGCTGTAAGTTCTGTGAACTGGGAGGATTTCCCTTTACCAGTGTCTTTCAGGGATGTTCCAGAAGGGGACTATAACACTACAGCTGTTCAGTTTCAGGTGGTGTCTACATATCATGCACATTTCCACAGTGGCTGCACCATTTTGCATTCCCACCAGCAATGTACAGCATTTTCAATTTCTCCATATCCTAGCCAACACTTACTGTTTTCCATTTTGTTGATAATAGCCATTCTTATGGGTTTGAAGTGGTATCTCCATGTTTTTTTATTTGCATTTCCCTAATGGCTAATGATTTTGAGCATCTTTTCATTTGAAATTGGCCATTTGTTTATTTTCATTGGAGAAATATCTATTCAAGTCTATAGCCCATTTTTAAGTTGGGTTGTTTGTTGTTTTTTTTTTTTTTTGCGTTGTGGGCGTTCTTTGTATATGCTTGTTATTTATCTGATATATGAGTTTCAAACATTTTTTTTCCCATTCTGTGGGTTATCTTTTCTCTCTCTTAATAGTGTTCTTTGATTTATAAAAGGTTTTAATTTTGATGAAGTCCAATTTATTTTTTTTCTTTTGTTGCCTGTGCTTTTGGTGTCACACTTAAGAAACCTTCGCCAAATCCAAGGTCATGAAGATCTCCCCTTCTGTTTTATTCTAAGAGTTTTATAGTTTTAGGTCTTTGATCTATTTTGAGTTTATTTTAATATATGGTACAAGGTAAGAGTCCAGCTTCATTCTTTTGCATGTGGACATCTTGTTTCCCTGCACCAGTTGTTGAAAAGACTGTCCTTTCCAGATTGGGTGCTCTTGCCACCCTTATTGAAAATCAGTTGACCATTATATGTTTATTACTAGGCTCTCTGTTCTTTTCCTATAGTCTGTTTGTGCCAATACCACATTTTTTTTCTCTTTCACTCAGCCTGGGGTAAGACAGGCAAAGTGCCTTCCTTGGAGTGGTATTTTCCTAGTTCACACACTGAAAGTATCACCATCTGGGCATTGCTTTTCTCAACTTCAGAGTAGTTTCCTCAAACCTCTCTTGAGGTCCCAGCGTTCTTTCCTACACCTTGAAAACTGTGCCGGTTGAAATCCAAGCTATAGGCTACTATAAAGAAGTAGATGCTTTCAGAATAAATTTTGGCTCCAGGGCTCTCTTATCCTGTGGAACTGTGTTTTCTCATTTTCTCTGACTTCTTTTTTGTTCTCTCTAGTGCTGGTTAAAGTATGCTTTAAATATAAGTTTTTAATATATTACTGTATATTTCCAATGTTCTTTACCAGGACCATCTAGTCCACAATATGAAAATTGAGAAGAGGACTTTTAAGATCAGCTTTGTCATCCATTCTTGATAATCTGCTTGTATATAATTTGAAATAATAGTTTACACCACTTACATGTAGTTTTCTTAGCAGTTTTCATTTTAATTACATCACATGCTTTTTTTAGTTTTCTATGTGGCTATTGTGTTACTGTACAGTTGTCCCTCAGTGTCTGAGGGAGATTGGTTCTAAGAACCCCCTGCAGATACCCAAATGGTCAGATGCTCAAGTCCCTTATATAAAATGACAAACATTTACTATATAACCTATGCACATCTTTCCATATACTTTTTTTTTACTTTAATAACAGAATTATTATTTGTAATATTTACACACAGTCTTCCATGGTAATGTTAAACTTACCATTTTCTTCAAATGCCCCTCAAAATAACCCACTTTGCCTTCCTAAGTGAATCTTGGACAAGGAAATTCAGTGAAAGTGATCTACTTATGACTATCCCATGTCTCTTTTTCTTTTTTTTTTTTTAACATCTTTATTGGAGTATAATGCTTTACAATGGTGTGTTAGTTTCTGCTGTATAACAAAGTGAATCAGCTTTATGTGTACATATATCCCCATATCTCCTCCCTCTTGCGTCTCCCTCCCACCCTCCCTATCCCACTCCTCTAGGTGGACACAAAGCACGGAGCTGATCTCCCTGTGCTATGCGGCTGCTTCCCACTAGCTGTCTGTTTTACATTTGGTAGTGTATGTGTGTCCATGGCACTCTCTCACTTCGTCCCAGCTTACCCTTCCCCCTCCCCATGTCCTCAAATCCATTCTCTACATCTGCGTCTTTACTCCTATCCTGCCCCTAGGTTCTTCATAACCATTTTTTTTTCTTTTTAGATTCCATATATATGTGTTAGCATGTGGTATTTGTTTTTCTCTTTCTGACTTACTTCACTCTGTATGACAGTTTCTAGGTCCATCCACTTCACTACAAATAACTCAATTTCATTTCTTTTTATGGCTGAGTAATATTCCATTGTATATATGTGCCACATCTTCTTTATCCATTCATTTGTTGATGGACACTTAGGTTGCTTCCATGTCCTGGCTATTGTAAATAGGGCTGCAATGAACATTGTGGTATATGACTCTTTTTGAATTATGGTTTTCTCAGAGTGTATGCCCAGCAGTGGGATTGCTGGGTCATATGATAGTTCTATGTTTTGTTTTTTAAGGAACCTCCATACTGTTCTCCATAGTGGCTGTATCAATTTACATTCCCACCAACAGTGCAAGAGGGTTCCCTTTTCTCTACACCCTCTCCAGCATTTATTGTTTGTAGATTTTTTGATGATGGCCATTCTGACTGGGGTGAGGTGATATCTCATTGTAGTTTTGATTTGCATTTCTCTAATGATTAGTGATGTTGAGCATCCTTTCATGTGTTTATTGTCAATCTGTATATCTTCTTTGGGGAAATTTTCATATACTTTAAATTGTCCCTAGATTACTTATAATACCTCATACAAAGTAAATGCCATGTAAATAATTGTAAATACAATGTAAATGATATGTGAATTGTTGCCACCACGTGGCAAAATCAAGTTTTGCTATTCAGAACTTTGTGGATTTTTTTTTTATTTCAAATATTTTCAATTGGTGGTTGGTTGAATCCGAGGAACCTGCAGAGCCTGAAGATATGAAGGACCAGCTGTATTGGTTATTTGGGTATGGTAACAGTTTTCTGGTTGCCAGTATTATGAAGTGGTTGTCTTTAAAATTTTGCATTTTGAAATAGTAAATGCCCTCAAAAATGCCTACACAAGTCAAGAAATAACATTGATGACACTGCACTTTTCTCTGGAAGTTTCAGCTTATGTAGGAAAGATGCAATTCTTTGTCCATAGAAAATTGTATACGTACTCTGTCATTTGAGAGGACAATTTGTACTTTATTAAACAGTATCATGATAAATATTTTTCACTTTTGCCTTTCTTAGTTTTACAGTCCTTAATATTGGTATGTTTGATTTTCTTTGCAGGTTTTCTCTAGGTGATTCTAGGAGACCTCTTCATGAAACAGCAGTTTTGGTAGAAGATGTAGTACACACTCAGTTAATTAACCTGGTAAGAGCATATAATCTTATTTGGTATCTCTTCTCTGCATTCCACTTATATTGGCATCACAACCCAAGATATTTTTAAGAATTTTTTTTTTTTACATTTGGAATTCTTTTTTTGTCAGCTGTATTAGAGTATAATTTTCATGTAACAAAATTTCACCAGTGCATGACTTTTGACAGATGAATATTGTCATGTGACTAGCAATGCAATCATTATATAGAAATATTTCCATGAACCAAAAACATCCCTTTGTAACCCTGTGTAATCAGTCTTTTCTCCCACTCCTGACCTCAGATAACACTGATCTGGTTTTTTGTTTTTTGTTTTTTGCGGTACGCAGGCCTCTCACTGTTGTGGCCTCTCCCGTTGCGGAGCACAGGCTCCAGATGCACAGGCTGAGCGGCCATGGCTCACGGGCCCAGCCGCTCCGCGGCATGTGGGATTCTCCCGGACCCAGGCATGAACCCATGTCCCCTGCATCGGCAGGTGGACTCTCAACCACTGCGCCGCCAGGGAAGCCCCACTGATCTGTTTTTTATCATTATATCAGTATAGTTTTTTCAGAACTTTTTAAAAAATTTTTATTCTGAATTTTACATGTCTGGAAAGAGAATTGCACAAATATTACAGAGAATTCTCAGATACAATTCACATTCCTATGTTAACATCTTGCATAACCATAGTACAATTATCAAAACCAGGAATAACATTGGTACAATACTGTTAATAAAATTACCAACCTTATATGAATTTCATCAGTTTTCCCATTAGTGTCCCTTTTCTGTTCCAGGAGCTAATCCAGGATAACACACTGTAGTGAGCTGTCATGTCTCTGTGGTCTTCTATCTGTGATAGTTCCTCAGTCTTTCTTTAAAGTCTTTCATGACCTTGACATTTTTGAAAAGTACTAGACAATTATTCTGTAGAATGCTCTTCTTTGTCAATTGGTCTAATGTTTTCTTATGGTTAGAATGTGGCTATGCCTTTTTGTCAAGAATACCACAGAAGTGATGGGCTTTTCTCACTGTATCATATCAGTGGGTTCATGTTGTTGATGTGTTGTTTGTGATCTTAAATTAACCTTGATAACTTGGGTAAAGTGGTATATGTTGAATTTTTCCACTATAGTGAAGTTGTTGTTTTTTTCATTTTGTTGTTAATAAATGTCTTGTGGGAGATATTTTGTGACTATGCAAATACTGTTTCTCTGAAAAATTTTGCCTATTAATTTTAACATTCATCAGTGGGTGTAGTCTGAGACCGTTATTACTGTGGTATTTGCATAGTAATGCTTTTCTAGTTTCTTCTTTCCTTTTATCTTTTAATTGCAGTTATTCTGAAAGAAATAGCTATTCTTTATCACCATTTATTTAATTTTTAATGTACGTATGTATGGAGTAATGTGTATTTAAATTTTATTCTTCTGTTCATTATGCAGTAATATTATTATTTATTTTTATTTCTCAGGTTGTTTCAGTGTTGGCCACTAGGAACACTTTCATGTCCTTTCCTCATTTTTCTATCAAGTTTTTGGTCCTGTGTCTCATAAATATTAGGTATATCAGTCCTTTGTTTGTGGCATATGATACAAATATATTCTTCTTCTGTGTCAGTTACAGTTATCTTTTGACTTTGTTTTTATGAGCTTTGGGGAGGCATACAAGTATTTTTATTTTAATGTAGTCACATGCATCAATCTTTTATTTCCTTTGGATTTTGAGTTATAGTTAGGAACACTTTTCTTATACTGAGTTTAAAGAGAAGTTCATCCATATTGTTTTCTAGTACCTGTATGGTTTCATTTTTAACATTTAGATTCCTAACCATTTGTGGTTTATTCTTGTTATTGTGTGAGATATGGATCTAACTATAGATTTTTCCAAATGACTACCCAGTTATACCATCATCATTTATTAAAAAGTATCTACTTTCCCTAATGATTTGAGATGCCTCCTTTATCATTACTAAATTAGCATATGTATTGGGGTCTATTTCTGATTTTATAATCTATACCGATGGTTTATTTGTCTACGCATGTGCTAATACAACATTTTAAATTATATTGGTTTTATGGTATATCTTAAAGATTGTTACAGCTAGACGCCCCTTCTAATTTTTCTCAGTGTGTTCCTGATTATTCTTATATGTTTATTTTTCCATGTGAACATTAGTATTGAATTTTCTAGCTCCATAAAATAACTTGCTGGTATTTTTATGGGGATTTTGTGAATTTATAAATCAGTTTAAAGAGAACTGCATCTTAATGTTGAGTCAGCCTAAGAAAAAGGAATGTCTACATTTTTTGAAGACTATTTTTGTGTCTTACATGAGTGTTTTAACATTTCTTTTTATAGGCTTCACGTATTTCTTGTTAGATATATTCCTAAGTATTTAACCTTCTTATTTGCTATTGCAAATAGGCTTTCTGTATAATTACATAATGGCTGAAAACGTCTGGAATTTACTAAAATACGTAAATCTATAGATTTAAGAAGCTGAGCAAACTCCAAAAAGGATGAGCCCAAAGAAATGCATGTTCAAACTGCTGACTATGAACGGCATAATATAAATTTTAAAAGCACCCAGATTTATTACCATAGGGGAACAGTGATTTGAAAGACAGCAGAATTTTCATGAAAATATGTAGACTAGAAGGAAATAGCACAACAGTTTTAAAGTACTGGATTCCCTTTTCTCTACATCCTCACCAGCACTTGTTATCTCATGACTTTTTCATAATAGCCATTCTAACAAGTGTTGGCCTGAAACATACACATAGATCAGTGGAACAGAATAAGAGCCCTGAAATAACCCACATATATGGTCAATTAATTTATGAGAAAGCAGTCAAAATTGGAGAGCCACATGCAAAAGAATAAAACTTAGATGCTCTTTTACACTGTACACAAAAATTAACTCAAAATGGATTAAAGACTTAGATGTAAGGCCTACAACCATGAAATGCCTAGAAGAAAACATAAGCACTAAGCTCCTTGACATAGGTCTTGGCGATGATTTTTTGAATGTGACCCCAAAAACAAAAGCAAAAATAAACAAGTAAGACTACATCAAACTAAAAAGCTTGTGCACAGCAAAGGAAACCATCAACAAAATGAAAAGGTAACCTACTGAATGGAGGAAAATGTCTGCAAATCGTATATCTGATAAGGGGCTAATATTCAAAATATATGAAGAAGTCATACAACTCAATAGCAAAAAATAAACAATAAATGGGCAGACGATCTGAATAGACACTTTTCCAAAGAAGACAGACAGCTGGCCAACATGTACCTGAAAAGATGCTCACCATCATTAGCCATCAGGGAAATGCAAATCAAAACCAAATGAGATATCACCTCACACTTGTCAGAATGACTGTCATCAGAAAGACTAAAAATAGCAAGTGATGGTGAGGATGTGGAGTAAGGGAGCCCTTGTGCGTTGTTGGATTGTGCATTTGTGCAGCCACTATGGAAAGCAGTATGGAGGTTTCTCAGAAAATTAAAGACAGAACTACCATATCATCCAGCAAGTCCAATTCTGGGTATTTGTCCAAAGAAATGAAAATACTAACTCAAAAAGATGTATGCATGCCCATGTTCGTGGCAGCATTATTTGTAGTAGCCAAGATATGGAAACAACCTAAGTATCCATCTCTGGATGAATAGGTAAAGAGATTGTGGTATGACTTTGCAGTGGAATATTACTGAGCCATAAGAAATAATGAAACATTGCCAGTTGCAATACCGTGAGTGGACCTCAAGGATATTAGGCCAAGTGAAATAAGACAGACATAGAAAGACAAATACCGTATGAGCCCTTTTATTTGTGGAATCTAAAAGAAAAACAAATCAACTTCATAGAAACAGAGAAACAGATTGGTGGTTGCCAGAGGCAGGGGGTAGAGTGGGATGAACTGTTTTTTAGTTTAAATAAATTGAATTTAAAATTTTTTTAAAATAAATTAATTTTTAAACTTTACGGTAACTGGTAATGCTGATATTCACAGGGAGAGATGGGGGTTTTGACAAGAGGTATCTAGCCTGGAATTCTTGTTTTTTTATATACATGTCTATATAAAAATATATGTTAAATCTTTCATAGGATTCAAATAAATATATTTAATATATTTATTAAATTTAATTGAGGAAAGTAAGCATCAGAATAGAGGTAAAAAACTCTTGGTGTATGCATAGATGTAGCATAGAATCTGGTTTTACTTGCACTATATTAAGATACAAATTTAGTTGCCAACATTTTAAAATTAGATCACTTTTACATAAAAACTTAGGATTTCTGGCTATTCTTGAAAGATTAAAATTGGAATGTTTGACAGCATAGGTATGACTTTTAATATGGAAATCTGAGCTCAGGAGCCACTTCTACCTGGTTTTTACCAGGCCGGCTTCATTTGCTTAACCAGGAAAGTATTCAGTGTTAATGGATTTATATAGCATATTGTTGCTGTATTTCCCATATCCATCTTCAATTTCAATTTTTCAAGAAAACATACTTTTTAATTTTGGAAGAAAATGATGTTTTTTAAAGGAATTTTAGTTTTCCTCAAAAGCTGTGGAAACAGTGTTATGTATGTCAGAGAAGTTCATAGACAAATATAATAAGGAAGTTGTTTTTATGTGATATACCTTTTCCCCCTATGACTTTGCTCTGTTAATGCCAGAGTGATCTATCAAAGTGCTTTGATAGTGTACTATCAAAGGGAATACATAACTTATAGAAGAAATAAAAAGCATTTAGATTCTTGCTACAGCCTATTTAGAAGGGAAGAAAGTGATTCCACTCTTACAACCTCTGTGGTGCTGTGTCTCCTGTTCAAAAAGCACCTTTAAGTACTGGGGTAGTGAGCTAGAACTTCAGTTGACTCGTTCTTTCCTCAACTGCCGGCCTTTAATACCTTAATCTAAAACTTTCAAGGGGAAGAAAATCCATTCTTCAGTCTCTTGGATCATTTTGGCAGCGGTTGTGTGTTGTTTCATTTGGGA